ATAAATATTAATTAAAGAAAATGACCAAAAATTAAAAAATTCTAATTCACTAATGGTTTGATACAAATAATTACCTAAATTAGTTTTTTCAATTCGATAATAGTTTGGACTCTAATCACTATCTGCTAATCTCAAATCGCTAAATAAAAATTTTATCAAACAATTTATTTATAATAGTTTTGAGATATATAAGTTTATCAAACACCTATATCTAGCGATTTAAGTAAAATCGCTAACTGTTACTCCAAAACCACTGTACTAAACAGGCCCTAAGAAATACATGGCACAAAGGTTGAATCAATAAAGTATTGGATCAAAAAATTCTCGGTCTAGTATTTATAGTAAGCAAAATCATAAAGGAAACTACATGGAGAAAGGCAAGAAAACACAAAATTTTTATATAATTTAAATCTAAAGATTAATTTTGTTTTGAAAAAAAATTATTTAATTTTAAAGATTTTCTAAGGTCTAGTGGTGCCTTGTGAAGTTAATGACCTTAAGCAAAGTAAATCAAACATCCATGGATATAAAAATGAGGATTGAAAGTTCTGGGCTTAATGGAATGGAATTGGAAAAGTATGCCATATTGAAATGACTTAAAAGAGAGGGACTAAATTCAACAGATTAGAAAACTTTTGGATGCATGTTCAATAAATTGAAAATGGTGGACTTAATTGCACAAATTTTAAAAGACGTATACTAAATTAGAGAGTAAGGAATGGAAGCTATTAATCCATTTGACCATTGAGTATGACTGGCATTGATCCAGTTCAATTAACTAAATTAAACCAAAATTTAAGTAATCAATTATGATTAATTAAAATTAATTTAAGATCATTAATTATCTTAATCTCAATTAACTTAATCAAGCCTTAATTAGTCCAAACTAACCTAATCAAATCATGATTAGAGTTGTGCTGTGTACTATGATTGTACCATTTCACTGCTATTCAAAAATAACTAATTAGATTTAATTAAATTTGGTTTTGTGGGTTTAGTTTTTTTTTTTTTTTTTTTGAACTTGGGGAATTTTGGGGAAATGGAGAATTTTTTTTCAAGTAATTAGTAAAAGTAAAACCCCTAACAACTTAAACCCAAGTTTTAGGTTTGGTAGTGAATCATTAGATTCGTTCAGCTGACTGATGGGTTTAGCCTCTTTTATTTAAAGCATTCTCGTTTTTAAGCCGAATAGAACTTGGGCCAGCCCATATCCATTTTTGCATTTTTTGGAAACAACCCATTAAAAATAAAGGAGATTTAAGGCTAGCCCGTTTTCCCCTTCTAGTTTTTTTGGCCCGTTTTGCTTGTGATTTCCAGGGACCTGCGGGTCTGGAAACTCTCCCGGTCTAAACATTCCCGGGGAATTCCCAGACTCCGGCGAAAGTTAAAAATCGAAAGAAATTGCAAAAAAAAAAATGGAGAAAATCAAATACCAAAACCAGGACCTAATGGAGCCTAATTGCATTCAAAATGCACCAACATAAACTAAAACTGAGCATGTATATTCAAGATTAAAGTGGACAGTACATTCAACCAAAAAATCCATCACCAAATGAACAAACAGGCACGTAAGAGGCGCTTTGTAGGTCGTCATGCTTCCGGGTACACCGTTTTGGAGTAGTCCCGGAGGCAAAAACCCGAAGGCGCCCCTTACGTGTTCGGATCAGGAAGTTACCTAGCTAAGGGAGACCGCAATGTCGCCGGAATCCGGCCGGGATCTGCTGCTCTTTCTCTCCCCTCCACTGCTTTCAAAACCCAGAAGAAGTTCAAAAATGGACCAAAAAGAATCCCTGAAAATCACCAAAAGAACCCCCTCTTCTTTTTTTTTTTGGGCCGTCAGCAGCTCTCCTATAATTCTCTCTGGCCCAGAAGCCCTCTCGGCTCCCTCTATTTATAGAAAAAGAAGGCAAACCCTAGAATCTCTACCGTCTACTCATCTAAACCGTTCAAACTTTTTTCTTTAATCACGCCATTCGATGCAATGTTTTGAAAATCAGACCGGAGGTCAAACCATTTTGTCCTCCGGTTCATGGTTTGAGTGGTTTGACCGGGTAATCAGTGAAAAATTCGGTCTGATCATATTAGCTATTAATATAACAAATTTATAATAAATATAGATTGCAAAATATGAGAATTTTATAGTAAAGTTTTGTTTGAATTTCATTATATTATTAACTTTTTCATGTTTACAAAGAAATTTTTTTTTGAATAATTTTATAAAGAGTCAGATTCAAACCGTTACCTAAGAAAATGAGATGTATTTAAACGTAATTTGACGTCACTGAATCCAAATGCCCAAGTGCATGCTTACAAAAACATTCATATAAAAAAATTAGTAAAAAGTTATTAAGTAAGTTTCATATGTGAAAAGTTGAGAGATATATATTTTTTTTTTTGAATAATGTGAGTATAAAAATTTATTAATTAAGAATTGAGTCAGGGAATATAAATGTTTAAAATATCACTTTTATCCTCGTTTTATTACAATATTACAATATGAAACTATACAAATAACTCTATAAAATAAAAAAAGTAGAGAAAATTTTAATTTTTTACCAAACATGCCCTTAATACTAGCA